AGTTGGGTAAAGACGGACAAATGAAGAAACAGGAGTGATATGGTGATGGGAATAGTGAGCAGACCACTAGGACAGGAGGAAGAAATAGATGAGGAGCTAGAGAAATAGTTCACATGCCTGGAGGCATGCCAGAGCACAGATAGGGGCTGTAATCATCTAGGTGTCTGTTGGAGCAATCTCACTGCCAAAAGCCAAGCAGCTAATAAATTCTTGGCCTGCCTTAATGACAATTTCATCCTTCAGAAGGACCACCAAGGAGGAACTGGTCACTGATATAGAAATGACAGGAACCACATACATCAAACTATTTAGTGCATCTCTTGTTTGTGGCATCCAAGCAACTGGAAATAAATATCCATCCATGTGGTATATAAAGGCAATGGAAAATTACTGTACTTTAAGAAATGATAATTATAAGGAATACAGAGAACAAGAAAACCTATGAACTGACGCAGCTAGGTGGTTCAGGATAGAGTGTTGAGCCTGAAGTCTGGAAGACTTGAGTTCAAATCCAGCCTCAGACACCTACTAGATATGTGAACCTGGGCAAGTTGCTTATCCCTGCTTGCCTCAGTTTCCTCATCTGTAGAAGAAGCTAGAGAAGGAAATGGCAAACTACTCCAGTATCTTTGCCACGAAAACCTCAAATGGGGTCACAAAGAGTCAGACACGACTGAAAAATGACTCGCCAACAACAATATTACCTCACAGGGTTGTTGTGAGGATCAAATGAGATAATATTTGTAAAGCACCTGACACATAGTAGGCTCTGTATAAATGTTTATTCCCTTCCCCTCTCTATCCCCCTCCCCTCTCTATCCCCCATGCAAAGTGAGAAGCAGGCCCAGGAATCCAATGTCCACAATGACTACAACTTTGTGAAAAGAAAGAACAAAAACAAAACAGCAATAAATCTTCCTCTTTGCCCAAGAGGGGGACTATGGGTGCAAAACATGACATGTTCTGTCCAACTCAGTTGTTTTTACTGAGCTGCATTCCCCCTCCCTTTTTTATTCCTTGCTACAAGAGAGGACTTTATGACAAAATATTTTATTTGAAATTAAAATTATATAACAAAAGACACTGACACTTTTTAAAATAATAATAGCATAGAAATTATGGGAACCATGTGGGTAATTAATAACACTACCTTAGAAATGTGATAGAGAAAGGGAAGACATCTGGATACTGTCTGACAGCAGAATCCAGTGTTCATTCCCATAAGGTCGGCAGAACTGTTAATAAGTGTGTGAGGCTGGGTGAGGTAATGTGGTACAATAGAAATGGAGCTGACCCACGGGCAAAATCCTATCTTTGCCACTTACTACCTCCGCGATCTTGGTCAAGTCATTAGCCACGCTGGGCCTCAATCTTCTCATCTATAAAATGATGGGAGGGATGGGATTAGGTGAACCTCTGAGGTCCCTTTCAGTTCTAACTCTCTGATATGATGACTCCTTTTGCAGAAGGTTTTCAAGGTGGGGGTGGGAAACAAAAGCAAGTTAGGAAGTTGACCAAGTGAGCCCTCAAGAACATTTACTTCCAATTTCCAAAAGGGTATCTTTCCAAAGTGAGGCTGCAGTGCCATTCCAAGTAAACTCATCCCACTTGGGAGCACAGAGAGGAAGTATTTCTTGATAGACCCATCTTAACCACCTGGAGTAGGAAGGCAGCTCCAACAGAAACCCATAGACTAATTCCCTCAATGGTGTGCAGCTGAAGCTGTGGGGCTCTATTTCTAGAAAGCATGAGAAGCGGATTGTCCAGAAACCCGGGGCTCAGGGCTCCAAGGAATTATCGCTGTAAACCTGTGAGATGGTAACTACCCTTCTAAGACTTCTGTAACAAACCTGCTATAACTGTGAGATGAGCAAATTAGCTTTTCTCAATCTTTATTTCCTCATCTGTTAAATGGAGCTCCTAGCTCAGAGGGTCGTCATGAGGATCAAATGAGATAATATATGTAAAGTGCTTTGCAAACCTTAAAGGGCCACAGACATATTAGCTAGTCTTCTCTCCCCTTCCCCTAGACCCTCAGACAATGGTAGCTTAAGAAGCATATGGTAGTGGGAGACATGTGTTTATCTAGGCTGAGTCCCTAGCTGCCTTCTTCTGACTATTTCCTTTCAGGAGGCCAGGTCTGTGACCAGTGATCTTAAGAAACAGACCTTTCCAGATTTGGCATTAACTTCCTTGGCAAGAGACCCCGAGCTTGGGAATCAGGCATCAAAGATTTAGGATATGATGAGCAATCAAAGCCCAGGACAGCCACTAGTAACCTCTGTGACCTCAAGCTTTGCTTTCCTGTCTCAGTCTCCTCGTCTGTAAAATGGGGAGGAGGGTATTCTAGACCAACCCTCCTCCCCATTTTACAGATGAGGAGACTCTGGAATGACCTTTAAAGTCCCTTCCAGCCCTAGATCTATAATCTTATGATCCATTCTTCTCTCAAGCATACAGATGAAATTAAACCTAGTGAGGGTTCTGGAAGTGTCCCACCTTGGAGCACCTGGACCATTCTGTGTTTAATCAAAACCCTTCCCTATCCTCCTGAAGGCCTTCCCATGGGCCCCACAGAGTGACTATCACCCCAGAATAGCAGGATAGTCAGGGTCAAATGTGTCAGCTCCCACACACTTGTCTCTCAGCACCAGCTTAAGAAAGTTAGTCAAGGGGCAGCTAGGTGCTGCAGTGGATAGAGGTCTGGCCTTGGAGTCAGGAGGCTCTGAGTTCAAATTCAGCCTCAGAAACTTGACACTTACTAGCTGTGTGACCTTGAGCAAGTCACTCGACTCCAATTGCTTCACACACAAAAAAAAAAATTGGGCAAGAGAAAGGGCAGGCAAATGCCCACCCTTATCAGCAGACATCATGGGGTTTATGATTGGTATGACCGACGGCTCTCCTGGTTCAGAGGCATCAGACCCTCAAGCCAACGACAAAAGGGAAGACATCCAAACCAGATTACAACGGCATTCCCATCCACATTAATGTGTTGATGTACGAACATGTCTGGTTTTCTAAGTCAACACGTGGCTCACAAGGATCCTCATGTACAGTTTAGTGGTGCCTGCTTCTTTTTGACTTTGACACCACTGAAAGAGGCAGCCTCCCTCACTGGGCATCTGAAGAAACTGAGGACCTCCCACACAGTGGAGTGACCTGCAGGGAGGTCACAAAGGTAGGTAGTAGGTAAGAGTTAGGATCTGAACCAGGTTCTCTTACTCCAAAGCTATGGAATTAGTATTTTCTCAAGAAGCCCAATTGTTCTAAATAATACTTTTATATAGCACTGGAAAGATTCTACATGATTTTTACTCACACAACACTAAGAGTTAAGAGTACTGGTATTATCTCCATTTTACAGTTCTAGAAACTGAGAGTCTGAAAGGGTAAGGGATTTGATGGGGAATGCATTGCTAGAAAGCAGGCTGTGGAGAGTGGACTGCATTTGGAGTCAAAGGTCATTCTTTCTAATCCCCACAAGGCTACTTAACTTGTTAAGTCAAACAGACAAGCAGTTACTAAGTCCCTATGTGCTGGGCACTGAGCTAAGCCTTGTGTGACCTTGGACAAGTGAATCTCTCTGCAAGAAACCTCATTTTCTTCATTTGTAAAATGAGGAGAAGGGTCCCTCTCAGCTCTAAAAGGATGCTTCTTGTTAAGCACCAGAGGAACTCAGGTCCTTCCCCCACTCCAAGACCAGCTCTCTTTGTGCACCACCAAGCAGCTTCCCTTTAAGGAGGGTGGCTGGCTGGAACCCTCGCTCCGGGACTTCTTCAGATGTCTGTCTGCCCTGTATGTGCCCAACGTGGAAAGGATGGGAGGAAGTCGCGGGGCCAGCCTGAGAGAGGGAATTGCCCTGCAAGGGCTCAGTGGTTTGGGAAGGGCTGCCAGCCAGGCCTCCTGGGGGATCATCTGGCCAAATTCAATTCTCCCATTCAGCTCCCAGGCGCTGTTCTTCCCGCTCCCGCTGTTCCTGAATCCCACCTCTAGCCTCAGCCCCAGCAACCGTACCTAAAGTGCAACCGTTTGACGATAAAGCCACTTGCAAAGGCACAACCGAACCATCAGGGGAAGCGCAGCGAATAGCATGAAGGAAAATGGCATTTCTTCCCTTTCAGGGTGTGCAACCCCCAAACCAAGGCGTGAAGTGGGGGGGGTGGATAAAGGGGGGAGGATCTAGCGCAAGGAGTCTGAGTCTAGAGTCACTCAGCAAGCCCTTCCGAGATCCTAGTTCCTTACTCCCCAATCCCAGCTCCGACTCGACTTGAGGGAGTTGGGGGAGGGGGAGAAGTGGGGGAGGGTCAGAGCTCTCCGGCAATTTGTGTTTTAAAGTATGCACACCATCCACGGGGGAGCTGGCTGAGACCTCCGAGCTCCCGCTGAATGCCAGGACAAGGGCATAGCATTCACACACGCAAACCACCCCCCCAAATCCTCGGCAGGATGCCGCAGTAGACAAACTAGGGGCAAACCGAGGAAATAAGGGAAGGGGCCCAGCAGAGAAGGAGGACGTGAACCCCGACATATCCCAGGAGAGCGAGCGCGCCAAGGCTGAAGCTCCGGCTTTAGCCCGCTGCGGCTAAAGCAGAGCAAAAAAGCCCGTTGCTCTTCGTGCAGTCGCAGAGGCCAAACTTTTCTGGGTTCGCTACCCCTGGCGCTAGGCAACCCCTGCCCGAGCGGGTCGGGGAGCAGCCGCTCGGTTCCCAGAGGCTGCGGAACGCGAGGGCGGAGAGCTGTCCCCCGGGACCACTGGACTGCCAGCAGTAGGGCGCGCCCTTCCCCACCCTGCGCCAACCCCAGCTCCTTACTCCTGCCCTGGGGAGCACCCCCTCCTCTCTGGGGCTAGGGAACGACGTAAGTATAGTGCTGCCCTTCGCGAGAACTGAGCAGCCAGCACCGAGACAGAGGCGGGGCGCGCCGGCTCCTACCCCAGCCCCTGCCCCAACCCGGGGCTCCCGAACCCCCACCTCCACCTCTGCTCGGTTCCTACTCACATGAGGGGCTGAAGCCGGCTTCCCGAGGTCGGAGGAAAGGTCGCTGCGGCCAGCAGCAGGGCCAGGGCCACGATAGGGGCGGGTAACTCCATGGTTGCCCCCCTCGGGTTAAGGGGATGCTCCGAGTCCTCCGGAGCTCTCTCGAGGAAGTTTGGACTCCTTTTAGAAGGTAGGCATCCCACCCAGCTTCTTGCCTCCTCTGGCCAGGTCTTACAGTGGGATCGCTGAGTTTGGAGGGAACCAGGCGCCTCCACGTGCGCCCCTAGCCGGAGGCGCGTCTGCCGCCGGGGCTGGGCGCACTGGCGGGGGACCGGCGCGCAAGTGCCCGCTCAGCAGTAGGCTTGCTCAGGCAAACCACTGGGCCACCTCTCACCGACTTAAGCGGGGAACCCTTCCGAGCCAAGCTTAGCATGGAATCTCTGGGGCCCGGAGCTCAGGGGAGGCCGCCAACGCCTCCGGGCTGCAGGTGAGGAAGGTCCCGGCTGACCACCGGAGACGCAAGTGCAAGCAGCCGCTTGCCGCCAGCCCTTTAAGGGAGATTGGGGTGGGGGGCGTACTCCGGAGACCTGCGCGCTGAGATCCGCCCCCGATGAGAGGCGCTACTCCCACCAGAGCCAGAGAGAGGTTCCCATTAACCCTCAGCGCACCATCTGGCTGACTCCTTCCCTCTGCTCCCCACCCCGATCGTGTAGGCAGTAGATTTGGCCACACCCCCAGCCCCACCCCACCCTCGAATTTCAGGGAGCCTGGGGCACACGCCCACCCCCAACCTCTGCAGCTTTTCTCCAGGTCGACTAGAAGCTGGCAGCCAGACAGCACTGGGCGATCTGTGCCCAGTCCAGCAGGCTGAGAAGAAGGAAAGCATCCTCCCTTCACCCCCACCCGCACCCCCCTCACACGAAGCAGGCGGTTGGTTACGGGAGGGATGCAGGGTTTGGCAAATGCACTGAAAGTGGCCTGCAGACCCCAGAGACATCGGCCTCCAGAGAGAAGCCGGCCAGCCCCATCTCACCTGCCTTCCCACCACCCACTTCACCCCTTTAGACAAAGACCGGACTGGTTTCTCTCCCCGCATTCAAAAGTAGTGGGAACTTGTGGTCTGTTACTGAAAGAGAACCTTGGACCACAGACCTTATCCTCTAACCTCGGAGGCTTCCCATCCCTTCCACAGACCAACCTGACCCCTGGCTGCCCCTTTGATGGTCTCTTCTGCCACACACACCCCAAAATCCCCTTTCTCTTTCCCATATCACAAATGCGGTTCAAAGCCAAATACACCATAGGCATTTTTGTGATTGTTTCTATTATGACTTTTCTTGGCAACTTGTAGCTGGTGGGGGGGCGGGAAGAGGAGAGCCCCACCTGCAACAGACATTATAGCAGCCTGGGCCAGAGCAGATGCACATACTCCAAGCCAGAAGTCTGTTTCTAGTTTATTAATTCCTCTCCTTTTAAATCAGTTTTGGGGTGCTGTTGTTTTTTTAAGGAGGAGCAAGGTTGGAAGGTCAAGGCAGTTCAGGAGCTGAGCCTTCTGCAGCTCTGGTGAGGGTAGGGACTATTACATTTTTGTCTTTGTATCACCCATGCCAAGCACACACAGTAGTCACTTAATAAATGTCTGATTGATGGGTCCCAAATCCAGGTGTCAGTAATCTCTGATAATGGCAGTTCACCCAGCCAGTCTAAAACCATAGCTAAACCAACAATCATTTATATTTGTCTTTCAAATACACTGCATGACTTTTAAAGACCTCATTCAACAAACATCAGTTAAACTGTGCTTGGCCCCGGGGGAGTTAACGGAGCTTAGATAAAATATGGTCCCTGCCCTCTTGGAGATCACAGTAGGAGAAAGATAAGACACAGGCAGATAACTGTAATATATAACATGACATTAGAGTCAATTAGGAAAGGCAGCCAAAAAAAAAAAAAGACTCAGTCACAGATTCCATTAACGAAAAGCAGAGCTTTGGGGACTAGAGAGGTGCAGGGTCCCTACCCACTGCCCTGGGCCAGCAGCATCTGGAGCATGTATCCGTACAGACAACTGGCATCAAAATCAGAGGACCTGCTTGTGCCAGTAGCCAAATCACTTTCCTGCATCTCGGTTTCCTGATCTGTAAATACAGGAGGAGCATGAACTAGCTGGTCTCTGAGAGCCCCTCCAGCTGTACAGCTAGGGAAATTTTGCATCTAGTTCTGGGTACCATGTTTTAGGAAAGACACTGATAGGTTGAAAAATGACCAGATGATGATAATCAGCTGCCTTCAAGTACTGGAAGGGCTATTCCTGGGAAGAGGAATCAGCCTTGTCCTGCTTGGCCAGACAAGACAGAACAAAGAGCGGATGATTGGATAGATGTGTTGTAAAGGAAACTTCCTCACAATCAAAAGTAGAATGAGATGCCTGGGGTAGGGAAGGCTGTGTTCTTCATTGGAGGTCTTCAAGCATAGGGCAGATGGCCACTTGTCAGGTACTTTGTGGAGAGCATTCCTTTTCACTCTGAGGTTGGACTACAGGGCCCTAAGGTCCCTTCCTGGTGTGAAAGTGAAGAGATGCGAAACAAAGTGTTAAAGCAAGACTAAAGGAAAAGATCTTTATTGGGGCATGGAGGGCAATCAGGGAATGCTTCCTGTAAGAGGTAGCATTTCAATTGGGCTTTAAAAGATGATCAGGATTTTAACAACCATGGAGGGAAGGAGAGGATATTCCAGACATAGGGAATAGCCCAGCACGTTCAGAAAGCTAAATGGGGCTAGAGCATGGAGTGTGTGGAAACTACTATGAGATAAGGGAAGAAAATGAGGATGGTATCAGATTATTGACAACACCAACCATTTGGCAAAGAAACCTAAACTAATTTACTCTAGAGCCAACAAAGATCTCTGAGCAGACGAACGGTGTGACCAAGTCTGTAAGCTTTGCTCCCTCTCCCCAAGAAGAGGCCAGAAAATGTATCTTCCTACTTTCTCCAAAGAGGTGGGAGACTATGGCTGTGGAATACTGCATATGCATCAGAATCAGTTCATGTCCTGGCTAGCTTTGCTGGGGTGAGGAGTGGAGGGAACACACTGAGAAATAACAGTGGCATAAAACAGAAGATGGAGCAGCTAGATGGCTCAGTGGATAGAGCTCTGGGCCCAGGAAAACCTGAGTTCAACGGAGCCTCAGACACTTAGACACTTCATGCCCCTGGGCAAGTCACTTAACCTCTGTTTGCCTTAATCCACTGGAAAAGGAAATAACAAACCATTCCGGTATCATTGCCAAAAAAAACCCAGGGACAGCATTGGTGCGCTATGGTCCACAGGGTCACGAAGAGTCAGACATGATTGAACAAAAACAAAACGAAAGGTAGCAATACCAACTTCTAATTTTAAAGAGATTCGTCTGGCAGGAAGAGAAGAAGCAATGAGAGTGAAGCTAGAGGGTGAAAGACCTGCTGAGCTCAGGTGATGGTCCGTGCTGGTGGTATCGAGGGTGAGGTGATGTCAGGGTGACAGAGAGAAAGGGATGGATGCTAGAGGTGCTATAGAGGGGCATGAGCCAGACTTGGGAACTGACTGGGGCTAAAGGCCTGGACAGCCTCAGAGATGACCCCCAGGGCTGTAAACATGGAAGGCCAGGCAAATGGTGGCTCCAGTGTGGAGAGGCGGGAAAGAGAAGTTCCAGTTCAGACGTAGGCTCGATGAACCTGTCAATCCACAAGGGTCTGGTGGACGCCAGACACTGGACTGGGTGCTGAAAGTGCAGTCCAAAGCAAAACCATCCCTGCCTTCAAGGAGCTTACAGTCAAAGGAGAGAGGCAACACGTACATTACACGTTCCATACAAAATTACATACAGAGCAGATACAAGGTAAACCTTACAGGGGAAGATGCGAGCAGCCATGATAACATTTGTACGGTGCACACAGTAGGCACTTAATAGATGCTTGTTCCCTTCCTGCCTTTCCCCCTCCCTGGCAAGATCTAGTCCTAGATCCAGAAGGGACCTGGGAGTCCCCTGACTCCAGCAGCTTCATCTTACAGATGAGGGAACTCGGGCAGATCCAGACGGGTCATGGGATTTGCTCTCAGTTATGCAGAACCAGGATTTGAATTCACATCCATTGATTCCCAGTCCCAGCCCATTCTCCACTGTACCAGCGCTGGTGCAGAGAGCTTTATAATAATGGCTAATATTGCTGTAACATTTTAAGGTTTGCAAGTGCTTTACAAACATCTCGTTTTATTCTCATACCTTGTGAGGTGGGTGCTATTATCTCCATTTTACAGGTGAGGAAACTGAGGCAGAGGATAAATGACTTAATTGCCTATGGTCACACAGCTATTAAGTATTTGAGGCAGAATTTGAACTCTGGTCTTAGCAATTCCAGGTCCAGCACTGTATACAGTGCGCCACCTAGCTGTCATTTCTATAGCACGTTAATGTGTCCAAAGTGCTTTACAGACCCTTCATTTCAGCCTCACAACAACCCTATCAGGGAGCTGCTATCATTATCTCCATTTTACAGATGAGAAAGCTAAGGCTTAACAAGGTTGTGACAACCAAAAACTACCATCACACAGCTAGTGTCTGAAGCAGATTGGAGTCCAGGTATTCTAAGGGATTTCCGTCTCAGAGGGTTCTCATTCCCCCTCCTCCCCCCACCCCCGTCTCTGTCTCTCTGTCTGTCTCTGTGTGTGAGTCTCTCTTGCTCTGTCTCTTTCTGTGTGTGTCTCTGTCTCTCTGTCTTTTTGTCTGTCTCACTCTCTCTCTATAGATAGATAGATAGATAGATAGATAGATAGATAGATAGATATAGATATAGATATAGATATATAGATATAGATATATGTATACATATATCTCCCCCAGGGTTGTTGTGAGGATGAAAACACACACACACACACACATACACACACACACACACATACATGAAATGCTTTGATTACAGCACTGTATATATGTGATGTATGATTATAATCTCAATTATAACAGAAAAAGTATATACATATACCTTACTAGCTGTGTGATTTTAGGCAAGTCACTTTACCTCTGTCTGCCTTGGTTTCCTTAACTGTAAAATGGGTATAATAACAGCACCTATCTTCCAGGGTTGTTGTGAGGATCAAATGAGAAAATATTTGTGAAGCATTTACCATAGTAGGAGGCAGCTAGGTGGCACAGTGGATAGAGCACCAGGCCTGGAGTCAGGAGGACCTGAGTTCAAATCCAGCCTCAGATACTTCCTAACTGTATGACCTTGGGCAAGTCACTTAAAATTGCTTGCCTCAGTTTCCTAATCTGTAAAATGAGCTAGAGAAGGAAATGGCAAACTACTCCAATATCATGACCCCCAAAACGGGGTCATGAAGAGTCAGACGCAACTGAACAATAAAAATTTAACACAATGCCTAGGTGCTACGTAAATGCTAGGTATTATTATTCTACCTAACATAAAGGTCCACCCTTTTTCTTGAGTCTGATCCCCACCTAGCTGCCCCTGCCCCTTTCTAGGCCTCTGTCCTAGGTGGGAATGATGCGGACTGGAGAACACAGCAGAGCAAGAAGGTACAACGGAAGGGGTTGGGGAAACTGGAAGGAGGCCTATTGGAGGAAGAGGTGTCCGCACAGAGACTCCAGGAGACATCCTGACAGTGAGAAAGGGCCCAGT